AGGGACAGACAGATCCTAATGTGAACTGAGTTTGTAGTTTTCCAAATTCATTTTGGAAAACTGGGACTCCCTGGATAGAGACATAGGGGATTTCATAATGCATGCAAATAGGAACTTCAGAGGCTGCTGTCCTGTGTTTTTACAAATTACCAACGATGGGAATTACAAATTTTAAAAAGCTCAAAAACTCATTTGGTAGTACAATATCATAACCTAGGTTTTTATTTTATTAGTAATTCTGTGTCAGGGGACTTCTGTGTACCACAAATCAATCATGGGGATAAATGGGGAAGTTTGTTAATGAAAGTACAAATGGAATTAGTTTGGAAGTCGCCATCAGTGTCTGTTGTGGATATTGGTTAACTGGGCCCAGTTATTTAATTTGCAATTAAATTTTCGGTTTTTAAGTTTTACTTTGAGAAAGTGTTTGTCTAGGTGGAATATACCTAGACTAGTGGATTATGATTGCCAGGTATTGTGGGACCACCCTCAGGATGATTTTATGGGAAAAAAAATGACCTCTCTTCTCTCACAATCCCTTAGTAATAATATACTCAGAGGTATGCATTGAGCTCCTCTGGATTAACCATGTGATGATCATTATTCTATTAATGTTTTACATTAATCTCCATGTTTTCTATTAGTGATGGCTGCTGCTTATGTCTCTCAATGCCACAATCAGCATGTTTTTGATATCTTGTATTACCCTCACCACTAAGAAGTATGCTCCGATTAAACCATCCTATGCAATTCATTTATTGTTGCTGCAGTTAATTGAATATTTGATGATTTAAAGGAACTCTGATTATTTCATAAGATATGTATTTATCACCAGGCAGATAATTTGTGCGTGATCTCTGTGGCTACATGGAGTGGCAGCCTGCACTGTTAGATGCAGAGAGGGTAGGCACTTGTGAGGGTTCTCGGTGAACTCACCACCTGCCCGATGTGCACCTCCCTTCCCTGGCCCTCAGAGGACCACATCCGTGCCCAGCACAAGAGGGTCGTCTGGGGCCAGGAGTGAGAGCACAGCCTCCCCTGTGTGTCGTGCAGCTTGCTTTCTGCTCCAGGAGGAGGGGGCGGAGAGGGGGAATGAGAAAGGACGCTGCAGCTCTGAGTGGCTAACTTGGCGCTTTGTGGACTATCTGAATACTCAAGAGTGGATTTAAAGAGAGGAGAAGGTGCCTCCGGAATTAAGCAGCAGCTTGGCAACTCAACAGGCAGCAGTTCTAATCCCAGTGCCACCACTAGTTCTCTTCCTCAGTCTCTGTCTTTCACACCTGTCCGAGTAACTCCTCCAGAATTACTGCAAAGACGCGTGGGTGTCCGTGAGAAAGAGAAAGAGAGTGCAAGAGAATAGAATTTGGGGCTGAGCCCCAGCCTTAGCTCAGCTTTCTTCCAGTGTGCAGAGTGACCCTGGTGCATCTCCGCAGGGGACTCAGTGACTGAAGTGGCCTCAGGTGGCCCCATCACTTCTCAGCCATGTCGAATCCTTGGCCTCTCACTCCCATATGGAGCGAGGACTACAGTGGGGACCTCAACGGCTGGGAGCTTCTGTCTGACATGGCAGTGTCGGTGAACCCGGTAGGTACCCTTTCCCTGGCACTTAAATCAGACCTACTGTTTGGTCTTGTCTGTTTCCCTGTAAATGTTGTTTCCTCAATTTGCGTGGAGTCTTGAAGGCAGAAATGGTGTTGTCTTCAGTGTCTTTAAATCCTCCCTCTTGGCACCATCCTGAGCACAGTGTGAGCTCAATCAGGATTTGTTGTCTAAAGAAATAAATGGGAGAGCTGATGAATAGGCGGACAGGCGAATGAATGCGATCCTATTACCCTTGTCATGACTACCTTACAATGTATGTCCCAGTGGGTTTCTAATTGTTTGTTTTCCTATCCCATCTAGACATTTAACTCTGAGAGAAAGAACCCGAGACTCAGAGTGATTTGTATTACCAACTCTCCATGTTTTGCACTGTACTAGGCACGTAAGAAATATTTGCTGGTTAATTAAAAAACACTTGCAGGAAGGAAAAGCACTTGCGGTTCAAACGTGGTTGTCTTATGGAGAAAACAGCTGTGGGCCTGGGCTAGATGAATTTGTAGAACTAGTGACTTTATGAGAATGTTGGATTTTAGTGTTTTCTAAAGAAAAATATCGAAACACTGAGTGTGAATGCATATTTATTTGACTGCTCTTGCCTTTAGAGTTCTTCTCTGTCTGTCCTGAGTGCTGCCGACTCCAATAGTCAGTCATTATTAAATGTGCTGCAAAGCTTCAGAGTCCACAACTTTTTCTCTTTTGACAGCATTTCCTCCCATAAAGAAGTGGATATTTATATTTCGAAGAGGGGAGATGATATTTTCAGTTGGCAAGAGTGAGTCAAATCTTAGTTTGAAAAGATGAGAAGACAGGACTTAAGAAAAGTAAGGAGAACAACAGGACAAGGGGTAATAACTTAATTCATTGTATTGGGCTTTGCGGATTACAAAGCACAGTCACATCACTTATTTCACAGGATGCTCACAGGAGCCCTGTGAGATTTAAAAAGGATTGGTATTACTATTATTCTTTCCTTTTCTTTTACATTTGGAAAAACTGGAACTCAGAAAGGTACAGTTATTAAGTCCTGTTCCCAAGTGGTAGGGCCAGGACTCCCTCCCAACCCTTTTGACTCATCAGCAGGTGCTCTTGCTGTGTCTGCATATCACTCATATATTTTCACTTTGATTTAAAAATTAACGCTGATGTGTTTGTGTGGGAAAAGGGGAACAAAGACCTTTTCATGAGACTGGGCCATACATTTTTAGCCTAGGCTGCACACTCTAATACAATGCAACAATGATATTGAAGATTTAAGCCTTTCTTATAATCCTTTGACCTTTGTATTTGGGGAATGTGTTTGTTAGAAGTTCAAGAACTCTCTTGGAAAATACAGTTGCTGGAGCACTGAGCAATGGAATGAGGTTGTATTTGCAGTTGAGAACTGCCAGTTTAGCTGTATAATCATATAAACATGTTAGACTAGCATCTTCCAGTGTATATTCTGCAAACATTCATTTTGTGAAATAGCAGTAGTTATTAATTGAAAAATAAAACAAACAAATAAAAAAACAACTAAAACTAAAAACCCAAGACTTAAGGGCCAGGGAAGTTGGGAATGTACTTTATTAAAAATTTTAGACAGGTGTCTCACACCTTTTTATTTGCATCATGGATCTCCAAAGAGGGATACAATATGGGTTGCAACATTTCCCATACTTCTTTGGACACAAAACCTTTTATTTTGCATAACTACTGTCCATGGGATGGTCATCTTTTTAGTACTTCCCCACAGCTTATAGTTGTGCATTAACTATGTGATTCTTCATATTCACCTTCCTATTGAGCCTGTAAACTCCATGAGTGAGGAAATTGTGTCTCCTTTTGCTTCCCATTGTAACTCTGCCTAGCACCAAGTGGCACAGTCCTTAACTCTCCAAAATTGTTTGTTGAATGAATGAATGAATTGTGCTACACCAAATCACCAGTGGTTCTCTATCTGAAACCTGTATTTTAGATTCTTTACAAGGTATGCCCAGCCAACTTAAGTCTTTTCTTCTCCTATTTCTTCTACCTAGTATTAGAGTATTATTGTTATTGGGAGGATGGCTGTATAAATTTGTCATCCAAACTGGAGGACATTTTTGAGAGAGAAAGGGAATACTATCAATAATTACACAGATAACAAGTGTAACCTGGGGTTGTACTGGGCCATCTAGAATTGATAGCCCTTCATTATTGGTGACTGTCTCAGGCTGTCTCTCCTATTTGGGATTTTAGGCCTCTTGGAGTGGGGACTTTTACATGTAGAAGGTCTTCAATAAATACTGGTTGTAATGAATGCATGTACAGAAGTGACTATAATTCTGTTTGAAGATTTGCTGTATTGTTTAACTTGTAGTTTTGTCAGGTGAGGAAATCTAGTGCCATATTCTATTCTTCATTTCCCCAAGTATAGTTGAGTCCATACTTCAGTCTGTTGGGGAGTTAATAATTGTCCTTGCAAGAGGCCTGGGCAATGTAGATGTAATGGCAGTGCTCTCTTAGCAGGGCTGGGCGTTCATCTTTCAAGGCAGTGAATGAGAGACCCACTGTTCTTACCAGAGCAGGCAGGAAGCAAATGTGATCAGACTGCAATCCTGGAGAGGGTTAAGGTGTGAAGGGGAAATAGGAATGTTTGGGGGATGCCTAAAACCTGCACAGATGACGTGGTGATCAGCAGACATTTTTCTAGATGGTTGCCTGACTCTCAAGTTCCTGATGGTGCACTGTCTTGCAACTGGTATCTTATTTTATTATCTCACTTCTTGCTTTCACTGATTATGAAGCACCTGCAGGAAAGGGCTATGGGCCTGACATGGAATAAACCCTCAGTACCTTTCTGCTAGTGACTTGAATCTTGATTCATTAGGAAGGTGTCACACTGGGAAAAATGGATCATGGGATTCACTGAGTATACTTCTTAGACTTCTTGTAACTGCCAAGGCAAGCATGCAATTTACGCAGGCCGTTATCCTTAGTGTTTTGTAAGCACCTAGTTGGACTCCCAAGTTCAAAAAGAACTCAATTTAATCACAAAGTGTTTTATATAGGCCTCATATTTTTAATGAATAATATACAAAAGTATGTCAGAGGGTCAAAGATGCCTTAAAGATCATGAGATCAAGCTCTCTTTGGATAGATGAGCAAAGAGAAGCCCGAGGGGATGGGGGAGGGGTCAGTGCCTGAAAGCAAATCAGTGACAGAACAAGGAGTCACTTTCTTTCTGCACCATGCACTGCGATCTTACCACTTCATTAAAGTAAAACAAAATTAGTCATTTGCAGAGATATTCTTTTGTATTTAATAGGAAAAAATTGATAGCTAGATTTTCTTGCTTTACAGTTTGTCCTACAGAGTAAACTATTGTACAAGAAGAATAAATAGATTGTGCCTAATGTTTTCTATTTATTTTGTTTCAGGTAAGTCTTCCCAGTGATCCAAGCTGTGTTGAAGAAATCTTGCGGGTGAGTTTAAACCTTTACTTTTGTGCCTTTTAATAATGAAGCAATCTATCTGCTTAAGCTGTTTAAAGTAATTACTGTTCTGTTTCAAGGAGTTTCATAATGGGGAATCCTGACATTCTACTTCAAGACCCTTCTGCTCATTCCAGTGGCCTCATTTCTTACCTGTCTTCTTTCCATTTTGTAATCAAGCTAGTTTTCTAATATCACTAAGCTTCTGCCCTATCCATTCCTACATCCTTCTCAGACACTCACCACCTTCTTTAGGAAACTTTCCCTGTTCAAGCACCATACCCTAAACCTTTGCCTTTTACCTTTCTGGGACCTCAACTCAATCTCACTGCTGCCGCCCACTACGTGGAACATGGTTATCAACATTGATTGTGGCCTATAATGAGGGGAAGAGATGTGGGAGTGGGAGAGGAGGAGAAGATGAGAGACTTGAAAATGATGGCATGTTGTAGGAAGTGTTAGTTATGGAAGTGAGTGTATGTGTGTGAATGCCTTGGGGGCAGAACAAAGTTGAAAGAGTGGCTATAATCTCTCCTGAAGTAAACAATTAAACCAAAAGAAGAAACCAAATTTAAGTGAGAAAAACATATCTGTCTACTGTCTCTGGCCATTGGCATCAGAAGGCAGTATGGAATCTCAAGAATAGGAATCATGGTAATGAGCTCCTGTACCGGCTCTACCATTTGTCACTTCTATGACCTTGGACAGATTACTTTATCTCTCTGAATTTCCTTTCCTTGTCTGTAAAAGGGGACAATAATACCTGCCCTTACTCCCTTCTAGGCTACCAAGTGGTATATAAATCCTTGTTATTGTAATAAATGATGACCAGTGTAGTCATATAAAAACCATGAAGGCTTTCTATCTGGGAAAGAAAATAATCTGTGTGCCAGTGAAAATTCTGCATCCCCTTTCCTCAGTTACCAAAGTCACTCCAACTCCCTCTTCATCCCCCTCTCCCAGTAAATGCCTTCTCAGCAGCCCAGTGTTTGAAGCAAGCCCTGAGAAAATGCAGCCAAGGGAATAGTCAAGAGCCAAAAGCTGTTTACCATTGAATTGGCTTGCCACCCAGAGTATACCTGATGTGCACATTCGTGCACCTGTTTCAGCCCAAGAACATTGTTCTTGACTATTAAAGAGATGAGTCAGTCATATCACTTTGATCAGTGATAAGACTATACGGATTAGGGCAGGGGTTCCCAATCCCAAGGCAATGGACTGGTACCATGTGTTCCTCATGAGAATGTAATGCCTTGATGATCTCAGGTGGAACAGTTTCATCCAAAACCATCTCCCCACCCCTACTCCCACTCCCTACCCCCTCATCTGTGGAAAAATTGTCTTCCATGAAACCAGTGCCTGGTGCTAAAAATGTTAGGTACTGCTGGATTAGGGCTATGCTGACTACTTTGGTAAGATAAGAACCCAGCAACCCCTCAGTCATCTGTCTCAGTCATCTATCTCAGGGGCCCGACGTTTTGGGTGGAGACGAGGCAGCTGTTATGAGTGCCACAAAAGGAATGCACACTGGGAACTCAGCTGCTTGCTCCTTTCCCATTGGGAAAATACATTCAATCCTTGCTCACTTGTCAACAGCCTTCCTTAACAGAAGGTAGTAACATTGAAAGAAATGTCTTACTCTGCTCTACATAGTAACCTTGTTATTCCTTTCTTCTCCGAGTCACAAGCATAAATAAACTCAGTGGCCTTTTTCTTAACTCCCAAAGGAATGCCAGACATACCTCAAAATCTCTACCTAATTTGTCACAATTGAAATCACCTACTTGAAAGCAACCCGGCCCTGGTGCCTAGGTGGTTGGTTATGTGACTAAATGCAGGAAGGAGGGTGAACACCTGGCAGAGGCTGGCAACACCAGTCTCCTAAAGGAGCCACTTAGAGAAACAACAGAATTTCACTTACACATGGAAAGAAAAGAAGCAGGTTTCCTTAATAGGCTCACAAAAGATAACATGCTTTGAGAAAGTAACAAAAGTCCTTCTGTTATTCTTGAAAGAGAATCTAGAGAAATGTCTCTTTTTTTGAAGAGTTATAGATTGTATAGAATTCTTTTTTTTTTTTTCCAACAACGCTGTTAATGAGTGGGCTTTCTTTTATTAAAGAATGAATGTTTCATTCCCCATGCTTCAAATAAAAATAAGCTTTCTGAAATTTGCGTCCCCAATTTTATGACTAATTGTTAAATTTTTATAGACCACCTTGCTTGTCACAATAGAGCATGCTTGTTGGGCTTTTTGTCTTAATTACACATTTGTGTTCCTTTTGGTTTGAGGGCCTTAGAGGCCTGTGGCGGGTTCCGCAGTAAATTTGTCACCTCATTCCCCATAAACCCCCTTCTTAGGGAAAAGTACATTTTCTCTTTCTCCCTACCTCTCCTGGCCATGTTCACTGCTTTTCAAACTAAGCAGAGGCCCAAACAAGGTCATCTCTCCTCACTGAGGGGAGCTATGCAGAGGAAGGAGCACCAGCCCCAGAGTGGAGGAGCTGGCTTTCGGTTGCTCATGAGATTCCCTTATTTCCTAGCTGTGTTGCTTTTCAGTGTCTTCATCTAGAAGCATGAGCTAGTTATTACCCCCTCCATCTCTCTACCCACCTCCAATGAAGGAAAATTTAAATTATGCACATTGTTTGCATCTGCACCATGAAAATCTGAGTCCATTTGCTCTCCCATCTTTCCCACTTCCCTGATCCCCCTTTTTTCCCTCCACCACCTGGCAAGCAAACATATGCAAACCCACTTCATCTCACATGGAGACAGACTTCTTTTATTAACCAAATGCAACACAACCAGCCTTTCCCCACTCTCAGTCCCTCAGTCCTCCAGGCTATGGAAATGCTTTCACCTTATGTGTTTTGTTATGGCCCCCTTTCTCAAAATGCTGTCCAAATTCAAGCCAGTTGGTTTCTCTTGAAAGCCCCTCTCACCATTCGTCTGACAATGTTCTCAGCACCCCTTCAGACCAGCGGGTCCACTTTTCTTTCTTTGCCCCCCTGGGCAAAGTGCTATAATATGCCGGAGCCCACCTTGTCTCGTCTTCCAGCAATTTTCTTCTTGCCCTCATGGCCTTGCAGATGCAATCAGATTACAACAGGCTAACTTGACCTGATGTGTCAACCTTATTTTCCTATAGCAGGTGACGGCTTTTCAAAGCACTTGAATCTCATTGTCTTATTTGGTCATAAGGAATAAGGTAGTTTCTTATTATTTCATGAAATCGAGGTCCAGAGAGGTTAAATGACCTGCAATCCAGGGTGGGGCTGGTATGTGGCAGAAGTAAAATAGTATCTGGCCTTTGTTTTCTAAATCTAGTGATCTTTGCACTACACCCAACTCTCAATCACCCTGTCACAAATCTAGAGTGAGAATCTCTGAATATTAAACAAAATTGCTTTAGACAGTAGCTGACATTTCCAGCAACTTTAAGAATACCAGCAAACCAATATAATTTGAACAGATCTCAGAAATTAATTCTGCCTTTTTGTCATTCTTTAATATTTTTAAATCTAATTTCAAATAATAATAAAACAATAGCAAATTTGCATCTAATAATAAAAGAACTGATAATAGTAATGTGTGGTCTATTGCATGCCAGGCACAGTTCGTAAGCACATTATGTCTTTGAACCTTCACAACAACCCTCAAAAACTGTTATTAGTCATGCTTTACAGAATGGTAAAGAGTGAAAGTCAGAGAGGTGAAGTAAGTTGCCTCAGGTCACAGTTCTCCAAATCTCTGACAAGAGTCATGCTATATGTTCTTCTGGTCCTGTTGGCTTATCTGAATCCATTCTTACTTAGCAGCCTCCAGTCTGCTTTATGATTAACATTATGGTGGATTCAACCAGCAATTCATTTCAGCTTCTGTTGTTTCCTCAATTTGTACAAATTCAGTTATGCCAGAATAATTTAAGTAGTTTTTTGAACAAACTAGAATTCATTGGCCTACAACACCTTTACACCAAACTGATCTTCTCCCACGAAATGAGCCGTACAAATTCAGATGTCTTTGCTCCTTTTCAAGCATATTATTGCTTATTATGAATTTTACAAATCAGAAACTTAAAAGCAGCAATCTGTGCAATGCATCCCAGCTTTTACACTTGCTTCCATCAGCATGCTATTTACTCTTTAGAGTCAAGCTACTCTCATGTGTAAATGGAAATAAAAAATAATAACAACTCTGGCCACAGTGATGGCATTTTGCAGTAACATTCATGGATCATGTGAGGGATTCCTAGGCAGCCCATCTGTAGTAATATGGGCACCAGCAGCAGCTTCTTTTCTGAGCTCTGTGGGATTTTATGGATCCTAGAGTAATCATTTCTGGAAGAGTTAAGCCAAGGAGAGCAGCATGCTCTAAATGCTACTAGCTAAGGATGGATGCTCAATGATTATTTGTTCTGCAGTAGTATGATTTATTTGTTCATAGCAAGAATTTACTTTAAAAAATCAACAAACTATCAAATCCTTTCTGGAATCAAAAATGCAGATAGAGCATTTCTTTTAGATTTGATGCTGAACAGATTGTCTCTCCTAGCAAAGTACCTTCTGTAGTTGATAATTTCATAGGCAAACATCTGTAAGGGTAATTCAGTGTTTATGAGGGATGCTGAATTTGCTAGCTAGGATTTAGGGAACTTGATTTGATAAACTGTATCTTCTTACAGATTTCTTCCTGCCATAGGGATCAGGTTGGTAAACACCTACTTGGCCACCTCTTTTTGAGTACAGTATGATCTGTGTTTACAGCATTCTAAATTATGGCAATTCTACTTATTAGGCTTATGTTTTAGTTAAAAGTTTTAGCATGGAAAAATTTACCAAATATTTACAGGGCAGTGCTTGTTATTTTATTTTTATTTTTTAACAGGGAAATAAATGAAAAAACCCATCTTGCACGTAAGAAAAAAATGGATCAGGGAACAAAACTGGACAGACAATTATGTCTGAAAGGAAATTTGATTATATTGTC